GAACCACGTGGTGCCGGCAGGCGGGGGGAGTGGGTAAATGGATGCAGCAGGCAGGGGGAAGGGGTAGTGAGTGGGCATGCAGAGCACAGCGACAGCTGGACAGGAGTGTGGGGCCCATGCTGGTGCACCGGCAGGGCCCAGAGCAGGGTGGCAGGAGCACGGGGCCGGGCTGCCAGGGGCTCTGTGTAACTGAGCTGGTTCCCTCCTCTCCCTGCTTGAACAGCACAGCCCAGCCCAGCCCAGCTCCTAGACCCCTGGCAGCCCAGACCCTGGACTCCTGCCACCCTGCTCTGGGCCCCATCAGCAGAGGCCCTGGGGCACCGGCGTGGGCCCTGTGCTCCCACCTGACTGTTGCTGCACTCTGCATGCCTGCTTACTGCCTCTTCCTCCTGCCTGCCACAGCCATTTTCCCACTCCCCCTCTCCACCCACTGCATTCTGGCATCATGTGGTTCCTAGCTGCAGTGCTGGGACCACAGGAGCAGCTGGGGGGGACACGGGGAAGCAGCAGGAGAAAGGCAGCAGTGGCAGATGTGGAGATGAGAGGCAGCGAGCAGGAGCACAGGACCTGCACCAGTGCCCTGTGGCCAGGAGTGGCAGAAGCACAGAGGCTGGGCTTGCAGAAGCATCAGTGGGGCCTCTGCCTGCCACCAGGGGATGGGGGAGGGCAGGCTGTGGAAAAACCCTCCCCCTCCACAACCCCAGCCACCCTCCCCCCACACTCACAGCACCCCACAAAACTCATACCCACACAACCCACACCCCCCACACCTATCCACCCCCTCACACACACACACCGTCCATCACACCCCACATACCCACAAACCCAAGCGTGGGCAAAATGCATCCTGGGGACCAGATGCAGCCCACTAGGCCGTTCTCTCCGGCCTGCAGGGCCCCTAAAAAATTTAGAAAATTAATATTAATCTGCCCTGGGCAGCCTGCCCTTGATGGCTTGCCAAAACTCAGTAAGCGGCCCTCTGCCCAAAATAATTGCCCGCCCCTGCACAAACCTATACCTACCCTCCCACAATATACAAGAGTAAGACTTCATTTTAACCTATTATACATTCATATCTATGTACGCTACATAAATATATGTAAATCAGGACAAAAATATTTTTTAAATTAAATTAATGAATGTTGTAGTACATTTGCGTTTTAGAAT